TATATATATATATATATACACGATAACACGATATATATATTAGATTGATTTAATAAATGCCTAAATATTCACTGAGGAGAATTATCTCTAGCAAATTTCTCTTTGGCAGAACAAAGGAAAAATTGGAGGATGAATTAATTACCCTTTAAAGCATTATACAGCTGTCGGCGTAACACTGAGATGCGGGATTGTCAAGCATCCACCCTCAGACTCCCTCTCAGCTTCCAATATGAATAGATGATTACACTGCGTCATTCATCTTTTTGCAGGTCTTGTGTGTGTTTCAGCTCCTCCTACGCCCCTAACAGTGTGTGAGTCAGTGTGGTCCAACACTGTGCTACGCAGAGCCGAGCTCCCCTTTTCCTGGTGTTGACTCAGGCCCTCCTAAAGTATTTCAACATTTCCAACACTGCCATAAAAGACACAAGAAAATCCATTTGTCATGTCCCTCGCAGTACGATTCATTATAGATGGGGCACTGAACCACTACAAAAGCAGCAATTCCTTCAAAGGGTCATCTTTTCAGTTTTTTTCTGAGAAACCAATTTCAGAACATAATTAATCTTCAGGGAGAGATGTTTTGTGCCGTTTGGTAAAGGTGGGACTCTGTGTTCACTGTTGCGGAAAGTAATTGAGGATGGATGATGCTTACAAAAACCAGGGTCTCTGAAAACGGGCCATTTTCAGTTCATTGTACCTCAAATGCTTTTAAGGACAGATAACCGAAGCATATTGTCCTTGACAGAATAACTTAGTGGCCCAAACTTAATATGACAACATGGAGATGGATATTTAAACTGAAATCTTGAATATTTCTAATATTTCTAAAACTGATTTTATTCAATAGTTCAAAATTGATGAGGGATAAATGCAAATACAAAGATATGATGTATTACACATGAGGTTACATATGTTTATTTTTTGTGAGGAACATAATCCACTCACCCACAGGCATAAATAACAATATTTCATAAAGCTCACACTGAATTACAAGCCTTACTTGCCAGGTATGCCACTGGCTTCTTGAACCCCATTGATGTGAAGAAACGTCTCTTAAAGTGAAAAGGGAAGGAATAATGCACACACACAAACACACACACACATCAACTTGAAATTCATGTTACCTTGCTCCTCGCTGCTGAAAGCTGACAATGGACCCATGAAATAGAGACAAATATACCAGCTCCACCCTTTTGTCTCACCGATTGTTCGGAGCTTTACTCAGCGGTACAAAATAACAACGGCAGCTAAAGTGCAGTGGGAACCGACCCAAACAGTAGGTTGTAAGGATAAATGGATAAATGTCATGCTGGTCCGGCTACAGTCCCTATGCAGGCGAAAGGATACAGGACAAAAAAGTGAAATTATGTTGCTAACAGTACATAACCACCAATATTCATCCTTTTTGAAAAAGGGGAACACATCTAAAGACCTCCATCCCTCTTAGCCAAGCTAGCCATTTCCATGTGCAAAAAAACACGACATCAATCCATTTTGGAAAAGTAAAAGTAAATCTGCACAAGAGCAGCAATTATCATCGTGGTCCATAATTCCACAAAGAAAAAGTGAGGAGAGCAAAAATGCACTACTCCTCAGTGGTGCGCATACATACGAGTTGTTTTCAGGAAGCGTAGGAATTCGGGGATGGAGCCCTCAGGTGTTGAGCATCGCATTACGATGCAGAATACATAAATAGGGAAAGTTAATATCACTGTCCTGGCCTGTTTGACAAACACTCTCATCTCTGGATATTCGCTCATCCTCCCACTGATCAATTACCAGCACTGCTGAGATCCAGGATAAGTAGTGCAGTTTGAATCTGGAGGACAATTTTGATGGCTTAGCACATTAACCCTCCTATTACCTTTGGGGTCAATTTGACCCCATTCAATGTTTAACGTCTCTAAATAATATATTGACATAATTTTTTTTGCTTCATATTTCATGACTTTTCCTAATTTATTGGGGACAACTGGGTAAACATAAAATTAACAAGAAGATATGTTTTCAATTTCCTGTACACAACTTGTACGCATCGGTGTTCTTCGGGGTCAATTTGACCCCAAGCTGTTTTCCAATGTGTAAAACATAAAAGAAATATCAACATGTTTCACACATTGGTTCTGGTTGTTTTGGATGATATTGAGGTCACTATAACAAACAATTGTCTACAATCCAGGCCCCCACGTGACTGTGGATGAATGTCTGGTTGCATTTCGTGGCCGCTGTCCCTTCAGACAATACATACCGAGCAAACCGGCCAAATACGGTATCAAAATATGGGCAGCATGTGATGCACAGTCCAGCTATGCCTGGAATATGCAGGTGTACACTGGTAAATCCCCTGGGCAAGCACCTGAAAAAAATCAGGGCATGAGGGTGGTACTTGACATGGCTGAAGGACTGAATGGTCATAACATTACATGTGATAATTTTTTCACATCATATGCCCTGGGTGAAGAACTGCTGAAAAGAAAGGTTACCATGTTGGGGACAGTGAGAAAAAACAAGCCAGAGCTTCCCACTGAGCAGCTTGTGATGAAGAACACGGCGGTAACCTCTTCAATGTTTGCCTTCACTGACAGAGCCACTGTCGTCTCCTATTGCCCCAAGAAAGGGAAAACAGTCCTGCTGATGAGCACCATGCACAAAGATGCTGTCCTGAGCACCAGAGAAGACAGAAAACCACAAATGGTCTTGGACTACAACAAGACAAAGGGAGGGGTAGATAACCTGGACAAGGTCACAGCCACATACAGCTGCCGACACATGACTGCCCGTTGGCCCCTTGTAATTTTCTTCAACATCATTGATGTGAGCGCCTACACTGCGCCTACACTGCACTGCACTGCACTTTGTAATATGGAATGAGATAAACAAGGACTGGAACAGCGGAACACTGACTCGAAGGAGGATTTTCCTGGAGAAACTGGGTTACGCGTTGGTTGAAATCTCATATCGAGAGAAGACAGTGCCATTCCAAGAACATCAACTGCCGCTGCAACTGTTGTGAAGGACATCCATACAGACGCACACTGTGCAGCTCCTCCAGTGGTTCAAACTACAGGCAGGAAACGTGGTTGGTGCCAGGTCTGTCCAAACAGAAATGACTCCAAGACCAGCAACACCTGTGTGAAATTCAAGAAATACATCTGCAAGGAACATGCATGCACTCTCTGCACATCATGTGTACAGTAGTGCAGACCAAAGGCTGGAATGTACCTTCTGGTGGGCTGAAGGAAAGATAATATGCTGTTCATATTCTGTCAAACTAATTTTAGTGACTTTGTTTTTTTCACTATCTCATGCAAAACTATTTGCATACATAGCACTTAGTGTAGCATAGACCAATCTCAAATGTACTTTAATATTTGTGGAAATAAATACCTGTTATGTATTCCTTAGTGATGTTCTGATGATGATGATATTCTGTTTTACAAATCCTTCTAAATTTCTGAAATTGTGTTTGTTTTTCCTGGGGTCAAATTGACCCCGAACATAATCCATGTTACTATTCTTGATAACAGAAATTGTTTTTCATTCCAAATAATATAGATATAAAAAACATGTACTTAGACATAATATAAAGCCATTAAAACACCAAAAATATATCTCTTTCCAATTTTAGGTCAATCAGTGAGATTTTAATGGTGATCTGCATATTTCGCCATAGTCGCGAATATTCTGGATGTATCAGGGGAGGGGGGGGGGGGTGTATTTTTATTTATTTAAAGGGCTATTTAGGTAGTCAACAAACAAACATAAAGTACCTGACACTCAAAATCAGAAAACAATATTAACTCTAATCATTTTCTGAAGGTTTAAGTTGTTGGGGTCAAATTGACCCCAAGGGTAAAAGATGTTAGTAAATTTGAAGGTAATAGGAGGGTTAAAAACATTGGGTTTGATGCTGTTATTGAGAGTTCAAATTTCCCCTCAGTTCCAGGGCTGAACATAACTTTCAGGAATAACCAGACAGACTCTCGTCCCTTTTTTTGTTCTCAATAGGAAGCTTGTAACGGCCTTGCGGTCAGCCAAACGCAACCACAGGGATCAGACGCGAAAACTTGTAAAGCGTATGTATGCATGTGTGTGTGTGTGTGGGACACGATGCCAAACGGACAGCGGGACCAAGAGAGAGAGAAAGAGAGAGAGAGAGAGAGAGAGAGAGAGAGTATGATGAGAAAAGTGTGAAGAGTGAGCAGAGGGAACCTGTGCCGATTCATCTCCTTGCCAGGAGCAGGCAGGTACTGAGGTATGGCAGCCCCTACAAGGTCAATATTTTACTGTGGCCTGTGCGTGCTAATTAAATTACAGGCTCGGTGCCCCAGGACTGCACACAGAGAGATATATAGACAATTTGTAGCACGAGCTGGGACGTTTTCACGTGTTTCGTCATTGGAACACTGAAGATTTGGAGCAATTTCTACATGTTTCACCAGATCAGGGGCGTACTGAGCGCGGCAGCCGGGTTGGAAACGGAGATAAGAGTTCTTTCAGCGTGGAACATCTCTCCTTGAAATAGTAAATCCAACAAATCTTGAGGCGTATTAATGTGAAAAATACTAGTCTTGGGGCTGTGTGTTTTGGCATCTGATCAGACCAAACAGTGTCTCACACAACAGTGCAGACTTCGGCAAGTCCACGTGGTCCGTCTTCAGAAGGGACACCGAGCTTCAGAGGAGAGCTTGTTGTTCAGCATGACTGATATAAAATAGTCTCCTTTGTTCATTGCAGGGCCTGGGAGGGGGGCGCACTGTCGGCCCAATCGTCACTAATAAGGTGATTGATGTCACAAATCCACGCACATTAAACAATCCCAGAACCATTTCATGCATCTGTGAAACAGCAGAAATATGCACATATTATGTGCAGTGAATCTTCTTTAAGAGAAGGGGGGTGGGCGGGGACAACCAGAGAGCACAGGTGACAATCAAGCAGCTCCGCCATTGGCTGGCCACGTCAGGAAGTTGCCGTCACGTGCTTCCGTTCCGACGCAGGGACTTTCTCCCCCCCCCCCCCCCCTCCGGAAGTCAACAGCAACAACCGCCGCGACGCGCAACAATGTATCCCAAAGTTGAACTCGGACACGCCGCGACGGCCGCCTGCCTGGCGCTTCTGTCCCTGGTCCGGCCGGCGGAGGCTTACGACGCGGGCGACGCTTTGGCCCTGCTCCTGGGCACCGTCCTGGCGGTGGTGGGCGTCTGCGCCTTCCTCGGCTGGTACGCGCGCAGACGCAACGGACAGCTGTGAAGAGCGGCCGCCGTGCACCCGCAGCGTCAAAAAAAAACACCAACCCATCAATTTGATCTAATGCGGAGCTCCTGGCAGTATTTCTTGGTGGCGGACAACGAACGAACGTGCCTTTTTGTTATCGGAGCCAATGCGCAAACGGGAACCGCGTGGACTCGTGATTGCGGGGGTTGGAGGAAGACAACCAGGAAGTCCCCCAAAAACCAGACCTCTGGTTTGTTGCACTGCTGAGGCTGAAGAACACTGTTACCTTGAGATGTTTCAAAAGACTACAGCGATTAGTGTATTTTCATTAAAAAAAACCGCATATTTGCCTTGCATGGAGTGATCACTGCGCTTTGCTAGTGTGTTTATATCCGCAATGTGCAAAATATCACCGGTGTGGTTCCATGAACAGAGGGTAGTTGTTGCTGTACTTTCTGCTGTTAGCTCTGGGAATAATAAATGGATTCATCTGACGCTTTTCCCAGCTTCTGTTTGCTATGGTTCTATGTATAATCACAACGCAGACATCGATAAAAATAGTTGTACAATGAACTTCAAGCAGAGAATACAAACACTGCATCGCAAGCCAAAGCCTTGCATTCAAAGTTAGACGTTGTTAAAGGCACAGAAGTGTTATATGAAAGATACAGGTTAACAATAAAACAAAATGACCCATGTGACATTACTTTGCCAACCCCCTTAGTTCAGCAGTTTTCTCCTTTTTTTAAAGGGTATGATTTCATCTCAAATACTATAAACCGAGAGGAACTATCTCTTTGGAGGAACTGATCACCGCATGTGTAAACATCTGAAAGGTCTACTCAAGAGCACCTGTCACCTTTCTGTGAAACGGTTACAAGCAAAAACGATGGGATCCACTGGTTTTTGGGAAGTGACAAGTGATTGGTAGAAGTTGAATATTGAACACCTGTGAATGTATTTCAACTGCCTGATGAGGTCAATACTAACTTTATTTCCACTATAATGACTTTCATGTAGTTATTCAACTTTATCACCTCATAGGAGAATCATTTTTTAAATTGTGGTATACAATTTCTAACAAGGATTAATAAGGTGAATTCCTATACTTTAGTTGGCCGTCTGGTCGCGTAGTTTATTTAGCAGGGAAATGAATGATTCAGGCTCTACCGTATCTATTGGGAGTTTTTGCATTCATTACCAATGAGCAGTGTGTGATATCTGGTAAACTGGGATTGACGAGGAACTACTTGGTCCCGTTCCTTTGTAATCATAAGCAATAGGAAATCTGCACATTGTCCAATACCATGTTGAAGTTGTTGCACAAACATTTAAATGTACGGGCGTAGGTACATCTTTTATGGACCAGGTATATGACAGCATTTGAGTGGGTGCACCCTTGTGTACATGTGGCTGATGGAATCATTGTTCACTTGTTACACTGCTCGCGACATCCCTCCATTCCATACATGGCGGAGAAATCAAATCCCATGAATTTATTATGCTGCCCTGGCAGAATGAACAACGGTGCCCAAAGTGCTTGTCAATTATGCATATGCAGTACAGGGTGAACGAGGCCGCCTGATTTAACCCTTCCCTTTCTACATAATGGGCACATTTGTGTAGAGTGAAACATGTATGAGCACAGTGAAAGGCGGACATGGAGTTGGTCTACAAGTAGATTTCAGCTGATGGATCTCACTCGAAGAGCAAGCAAACGGAGAACAAAGCAGTGTGATAAAAACGGGCAGGAAAATGAGCCACTTGTAGCTTTTTATTCTACTCAGAGACACAGTGGCGGGGACCATGCTTTCAGATGTATTTGTTATATCTGGACCCTAATGGTGAAGCTGCCAGTAAAATAGTAATCCCATACGCCACACGGGAAATACTGAGTGTATATATATATATATATATATATATATCCTCCTGCTGTAACGCGTTACCGGCCAATAGTGAGCAGATGTTCCCGAGAGAGAGGGAGCTGCTGCTGCTGCAACAAGAGACAAGACGCGTCTTGGATCACAAATAGGGATGCAGGGCGCATGCGCACTGGGCTCCGTTTACTGTAGGATATTCACCGTGGAGGGGGGGGGGGGGGAGGGGGCAGGCAACAAAGCAGGCTTTTAAAAAACAGCAAAAACACGACCCGTGCAATGTAAATAAGCTCCGGGAGGGAAGCGAAATAAGATCATCAACAGGTAGGACGTGAATTGATCTCGTGATCGTCTCTCCGTCGGTCTGTCTCTCGCTCTCTTCTCCCCCCCCTCCCCCCCTCTCTCTATCTGTCGCTCTCTCTCTTATTCTTTTCGGCCTTCCCTTGTGTGGAGGCTGCGATTCTGGGCAATTCATAGCGGGGACCTGGGATTTATTCTAGTCTCATGGACGTACGGACCCGCTCCGCTGTGACGCTTCACCCGGCCGATTGGGACGCGAGGACGATGGTTTTTGCCTGCCGTGCTTTTTCACCGAAATCGGTCGGATTGAGACGCGCGTAGAACCCGTCGCCCGACAATCGGAGGACGCATTTAGACGCGTAAGTAGACCCAAACGCCAATATGAATGGAATTAGAGGTTAGCGCATTGCTATGTGTGTCGTTTTTATTATCTTCTTCAAAACTGTTTAAACAAAAACAAAAAAACACCGTGATATTGCTACTAGCGGGTTTGTTGTTATCACTTCCATCCCCGCGCCGACGGGCAAATCACACCCGCGCACGAACAAGCCCAAAATACATGTCGAAATGCGGCTCCGGTGTCAGGAGCACTCGGTGTTTTTTTCGCCAAAACTAACAGATGATGTGGAAAATCGAAAAGCTCAGCAGGCTGTAATGACTGTATATATAAATATATATAACACTGCTTATTAACGTGAGAGCAATAATCCGGTTAACCTCTAATCAGGCACAAACACGAAGGCTTTATTGTGTGTGTGTGTGTGTGTGTGTGTGTGTGTGTGTGTGTGTGTGTGTGTGTGTGTGTGCGCGCGCGCGTGTGCCCGCGCCCGCCACAGAGCCGTGAGAGGCAGGACAGAGTTTACTCGAGGCATCCGCCGCTTTAGAGATGCTCTGTGCTGCAGGGTGTAGGGTGTGATCGAGAAGAGCTTATTTTGGACTGCATTTCTCTTAGTGTTCCCCCAGGGCTGAAAATATGCACCCCCCCCCCCCCTTCAAAAAGAATACTTAAAAAAAACCCGAATCAAACCGAGCTTCTTAATTCCTATTTTTTCTCTGTGAGCCGTTTCCTCCCGAGGGGTAGAGATGCGTCGTTTATTAATGAAGGCTGGGGCCGCGCTTCATGCAATCTTTTGTTTTAAAGGGACATTCCAAAGCCACTCGATGGAATTGTTTCAATGTGATGTCATTTAATCACTTGCTCGTCCGCCTGTCTGCTTGGAGGCAAAGTATTGTGCCACTGTAGATGTTAAAATGTTAGATTAATAAATAATTGCAGACAGAGGGAAATAATTGCTTATTTCACTCTAGGTCGTGCATGTGCTGTTGAAAACAATGCAGCTTTTGTGTGGGACTGAATGCTGATGGGTGGATAATATTTTTTTTCTTTAGGTGTGATGAGACAAAGGAACAAAGGATGCCTTAGAGGAGAGGTTGCCTATACGCCTGGAAACCTCTTCAAAGCCCCCCACCAAATGGATCTAACACCTCCCCCTGCCACCTCTAGATCATGATACTTGGCTGAAGCTGTTCCGCTATCTTTATGATCCCTCCTCCATCTATGGCGAACTATAGCCATGCAGGGGACCACACCATCTTGCAGAATGTCTCTCCTCTCGCCACGTTCCTCAAACTGACCTCTCTGGGTTTCATCATTGGAGTCGGTGTGGTCGGAAACCTCCTGATCTCCATCCTGCTCGTCAAAGACAAGAGTCTGCACCGAGCGCCCTACTATTTCCTGCTGGACCTGTGCGCCTCTGACATCCTGCGCTCTGCCATTTGCTTCCCCTTTGTCTTCACCTCGGTCAAGAATGGATCCGCCTGGACGTATGGCACGCTGACCTGCAAAGTGATCGCCTTCCTGGGTGTGCTCTCCTGTTTCCATACGGCGTTTATGCTCTTCTGCGTCAGCGTCACGCGCTACCTGGCCATCGCGCACCACCGCTTCTACACCAAGAGGCTGACCTTCTGGACCTGCCTAGCCGTCATCTGCATGGTGTGGACGTTGTCGGTGGCCATGGCCTTCCCGCCGGTGCTCGACGTGGGGACGTACTCTTTCATCCGGGAGGAGGACCAGTGCACGTTCCAGCACCGCTCCTTCAGGGCGAATGATTCGCTGGGCTTCATGCTCCTGCTGGCGCTCATCCTCCTGGCCACGCAGCTGGTTTACCTCAAGCTCATCTTCTTCGTCCACGACCGTCGGAAGATGAAGCCCGTCCAGTTTGTGCCTGCCGTCAGCCAGAACTGGACCTTCCACGGGCCTGGCGCCAGCGGGCAGGCGGCGGCCAACTGGCTGGCCGGATTCGGTCGAGGCCCCACCCCGCCTACCTTGCTGGGCATCCGGCAGAACAGCAACGCAGCGGGCCGCAGGCGTCTGCTGGTATTGGATGAGTTCAAAACAGAGAAGAGGATTAGCAGGATGTTCTACATCATGACGTTTTTCTTTCTGGCGCTATGGGGGCCCTACCTGGTCGCCTGCTACTGGCGGGTGTTTGCAAGGGGCCCCGTGGTCCCCGGAGGCTACCTGACGGCCGCCGTGTGGATGAGCTTTGCCCAGGCCGGGGTCAATCCTTTCATCTGCATCTTCTCCAACAGGGAGCTTCGGCGCTGCTTCAGCACCACACTCCTCTACTGCAGAAAATCCAGGTTACCAAGGGAACCCTACTGCGTTATATGAGGGTTTTGCTGTGGGGGGGGGGGGGGGGGGGTTTCTCTCCTCTGTCTCTATTTGCCTGATTGATCTTGATCTGGGCTCGTTTCCCGTTGTACAGCGCGCTCTCTCTTCTATCTCTCTTCTCTTCATCTTCCGGTTTTCCTGCTGTTCCTCCTTCTCCTAATCCTTGTTTTCAGAGGCAGAAGGTGGACGGTCAATCACGAGGCTCTGCCAGGTTGATCGAATATATGAAGCGTGTCAAACAAGGAGGCTGAAGGGAATGGGATTACGCAGGAGGTCTGGATCTCCTCCTGTGTTTATGTTCTAGTAAACAGACATTTTGGAAGGCCATGCCAATGCAGAGAAGCAAAAAGTTGAAAAACAGGAGGAAGAGAATGGGCAAAACTCTAAAAACAAAAACTTTTGCTTTGGATATTTTGAATATGCGTTATTCTGTGAGGTGTGAAATACATAAACATGAAAATTAAAAGAAAAAAGATTTTAAAAAAAGCAAAGAAATGATACCTCTCAAGGAATCACTGGAAATGTTTTACATTTTACGAGTTGCACTAAAAAGAAGATGTAAAGATGCTTTTTTTTCTGTCAACAGTTGCCAGTTGCATTGCAAGGACAACTTTTCTTTTTGTTCTTTTTTTTTTCCAAACGAAACAATGAATGCTTTAATTTGCAACAGACTACACAATCGCTGTAAGTAAAGCAAAACTCGGTGACTGTTGGAATACACCATCACAAGAGGATAAAATGGTTTTGTTGAAAGATATATATCCTTTTTCATTTACTGGGTACGGGCTTAACAATGGGGATTTACAATGTGTGGTTTTGAAGTTGCAATTTAAAACTAGAAAATATTTCTTGTAGTTTTATGCTCCATATGTCCCAAGTGTCTGGCATTGTTATTTTCTTATCACATTTTACAAAAAAATCGGGGGGGAAATAAAGATGGTGTTTGGATTCTGAAAAAATAAAAATAAAAAAGTGTGCTTAAAAAAGATTTTGAAGAAGTAGTTAAATGTTTCATCATATTCATGTACCTAATCACTATCATATTGTTACAGTATTGCTGATGCCACTCCCGGTGTTCTTGCCTTAATGGTTCTGATATCGTCATGTTTCTTGGTTGTCAGGTTATTTCTTTCTTTCTTTTGATCACTCCTAAAAAGCCTTTTGCTTTTCAGATGCAAGGGGAAGTTATTTTTCCTTCTTTTCATTTTCACATCAATGTGAAGTGCATGTCCATTTTTTTAAAAGCTGGTCCACCCCCATGAGCATCACAGGCCATACACTAAGCAGCCCATTCTTATTCTGCGATGGTTTGCTCCACCCCACAGAGTGCTCAGAGCACAGGGAGTGTGTGTGCTCGTACGCGTGTGCGTGCGTGTGTGTGTCACTCAGTGCATGTGTGTGCGTTGCAGAGCGTTTGTGCCGCGTGGATCAAACAACAGTCACTTCAAGACCAGAGCCTTAGTATGAAATCTTGCACAATTTGTACAAAATGTTTAAAAAAGAAAAACAACAACAAAAAACAAACAAAGACATTTGAGGCACACCGTCTTGTTTCTACTTTCCCTACATTTGCTCTCTACTGATTGTTTTCGATGACTTACTTTTTTTCTCTTGTGGCCATTTTAATATTTATTATGTATTCTTTTTTGTATAATATAGATAGATCGTGTGTAAGTATGTGAGTCTTTCAGTTCGAAGTCCCGAATGTGAGTACAGTTTCGGTTAGGATTGCATTTGCTGAAAGTTAACTGTGTAATCTGTTGCTTTTTGAAAATAAAAAGTTTCCATTTTACAACATTCGTTTTCATCCCTGTCATTGGGTGGAGATCATGTATGGCTACGCTTACAGCTGCGAAACTCCTCCCAGTTGGTGTTGTCCCGGTAGCGTTTTAAAAATGGTGTTTGCTCAAGTCGTGATTTGCCAACATCCTCACCTCTGCACGTCAGAGATTTGTATCTCTAAAATATCCCTTTGTCTCTCCGATTCACACTTGGAACCATTACATTGTGATTTCTTTTGTATTTAAGTGACCAATGGTTGGTATTTCTACAAGGATGTGTCATTTATGGTGATGCTAACAGTCTCTGTGTGAGAATATGTCTTTACTGAAACGCACACTTTCCTCTCTTCGAGCTCTTGTCAAAACAGAATATATGCCAGACGTTGTCGTTGACTGTGGAGCGTGTTTGACATTTATTGGGAATAATCTCCATGAAAAAATCCATGAGCATGCTCTCCCTTGCAGTTTTTCGTTCTGTGTTAAGGGGGAATTCCACTGAATTTCAGATGTAATTTATCCCACTCCCATATGGAATGCTCTGTAATAATGAATACCCTTGCACTGGGCCCTGTAGCCACGAATGGCGTAGTGCTTTGTCCCAGTAGCTCATGTTTGAGGTCACAATGATGTGGAAAGGAGAACTATGGAAATATGAACCAATGAAGCCAATTTCCCTCGAATGCACACGCATATTACAAGACAACGGTCACCGCCAAAGGTTCATTAAATGAATGTTCCAAATTTTAAGATTTTCTTTTGATAAACTCCTCATAGTCACAGGCAATTAATAGTTAGCTTATTCAATGATAAATAATTAACCAATTTCTGTTACAATAAATAGTGGAATGTAAAAAAAGCCATTCGAGTTGAATAACGTTCAAGGCTTAAAAGGGCCCGGGCATTTTTACTGTTGAATTGAGTGGTATTTCTCTGGAAAATAAAGTGAATACAGTATGTTGTTAATGTCCAAAAGCTTGTTTATGCATCTGCAGGAATAGAGGCGGAACTAAATAATATAAGATCATACTCAATCTTGTAAGATTCAGACATCGTTGTTGTTGTTTTTTGCTGTCTAACCAAAATGCCTATTTTATATCTTGATAAAAGATCACAGAAATAAGTAATGACCTCAGCCTAAGTGCTTGAAGAAAAGTATATGATGCTGAAATGGCTTGTAGACACTCCAGATAATTGCATGCAGGTTCCAGTGATGATAAATCACTATTAGGGATCAGATTCCATTACACTTTTGCCAATTACTTTTATTTTAATCCCAATTTTGACTCACTAAGGCCAAGCATGATGTTGTGAGGGCATTTATCGACGATATGACGTTATACTGTGGTCTGGTTTCACATAATGTATTGTCTTTTTAATACTTTTTGAAACCTGTACAATGCCTCTAGAAATTGATGAATGAGATGCCAATGATGGTGATGATGTTGATTATGATGCAACAAAAAAACTACAATTGGTGGGATTTTGTCTAGCGAGGCTGAAGTTGGGTTTACTGAGACTTTAGCCTCATTCAGCATGTGCAAATCACAAGGTGTGTCACCCTTCAGCGCTGGCCCACATCTTCCCATCGTTTTCTCCGTGTCCCGGTAATTCTGTGCCCCTCCACGTCTCAGCGTGATCGAGGCAGTCGACTTGATTCCGCCAGACAAGCTCTCCCATTCAACTCATTCGAACTCAGAGGAAACATGTCTCCAGAGAAACATTGAGCAACATATTCTTCATAATCAAAGCATTTACGAGGCTGCAGTGTGCCGTACCAACCGACTGAGATCTGTTCTCTGCACTTTTGTTCGGATGGTGGAAGAAAGCGAAGTAGGATCATTTTTTTGTGAGGCAATTATAATGTTCTCTGCTGGAGATACTTCGCATTCAACGATCAGAGGAAATTTCTATTGGATTTTGGATGCCAATGAATTGCACAGCCGTCACTAATTCCATGTCAGTCTCCTTGTATCCCAGTGGATTTACGCACACAGTTTCAGTTTTTTAATGGGCTTGAAAAAAAGCATCTCACACTAGTCCCTCATTTGCCGTACGTAATTTCAGTAAATATCATCTGTTGACTGAGAAACAATTACTTTTTTTTTCTAAAAGGAGGGTAAGGAGGGCTCATTTAATTTGAGTCTTTCTGCATTCTTAAGCATATTTTTATCTGTATAATGCACGCCAAAGCCTAATTAAAGTGCAGTAGGGGTCTTTGCCGAGGATACTCAAATATGAAAAGCTGCCCCTGAATGGAATGGAGTGACGACTCCGTGAAGAAAGAATGGCTTTCTGTGTTGGTATCACTACTCTGCGTATTTGTTTGATTGTGTGACCGTTTTCAGAACAGAGCTCATAATGTGTTGGTTCAATATGCTTTGCCTCATTTTCTCCAGAGTGTTCCCTATGTTTGGTGAAACAACATTTACTCACAATGTGTGCTTCGTGGAGCTTTCCGTGGGATGTGTTCTGCTCTTTGGGTGCGGATGTGTGCTGTAGATGAGTCTGGTTCTGTCACCCTGTGACTGTGTGTTGCTGCAGGTTTTCATGCATTGGTTTTTGTCACAGGTGAATCCACTATCAGTGTGACAAACGTATGCTAATAGGCTGGCTAATGTAACTCAGGAAATTGTAATGGTGAAATGAAACAAATATGTGGCCGCGTGTCGACATGTGTAGGTGTCACTAATTTGTTTTGTGCGTCTGTTTATGTTGCTGCTGCATGTAGAGTTCCTGCCTTGATTTCTGTTCATTCATAAATGTCTGTCGTTTTTCAAGGCAATTAGATACATTATCCAGCGGCCACGTCTGTCACTAAAACACCTGGGACAGAAAGCATCTTCTTTTTTTAAAACAAGCTTGGACAAGAAATGGAATTTGAACGTGGAGAACTGCATGTGCAGCATTTGAAACAACATGCACAATTTCTACATGTGCACGTAAATTCCCCCTGCGTTCTATTCTACACCCACGTTAATGAAGAACACGTTGTTAGTAAAATATGCAGGAGAAGAGAAAGTCCAATAAAACACAACATAACGATGATTTCTGATCCCTCGGGATAAGGGAGGGGGGGGGGGGGGTCTGGAGGGGGCTTGAAAAAAGAATGTTGCTGCATTTATTGTCTGACAGGCTATTACAGGCAGTGCAGGGCTCTGAATACCAATGATCAATGGGATGCCTGATAAAAATGTCCAAGTGGATAGAAATTCCTCCCCACAATATCCCAGTCTGTATGTCTAAAGACCCCCACACACACACACCCACCCAACTCCTTCAGCCCATCATGCTAATGCCTTATATAAAGAATATCCCTGCATTAAATATTAACTGATTAAATTGCAGATGGTGCTTCAAATGGATCTCTCTCCCCCTCTCTCTGTAAATTAGCTTGGATCAAATATGAATACTTAGTTCTGTCTTTGGCGTCACACCTGTCTGCACTAGATACATGAAGTGTTGCAGCTGGGTATTTTGGACGTTATCTTAGCAGAACTGCTAGATAATACATTTCTAAAAGAAATAAACGCAGCATGAAAGCTGTTCGGCTTGATGGTTGGTTTTAGAAATGCGCTCATTAGCTTTCCAGCAAAGACTTGAGAAAATGAGAAAATATGATATCACTTTTTACTGTCCTAATAGTACCGCCAGCAACCGGCTAACTTAGTTTGGCACAAAGACGGGGGATTGGGGGGGGAAACAGCTCGCATGACAAAATCTACCAACAATCCCCTTTAAAGCTCACTAATTACAATTTTATATCTACTTTGTTTTATCTGTACATTACATTTAGTGCTGTTTGACGGCAAAATTTGTGTTTATTATTTAGCTTTAAGGGCTTACTCGCTACAGCCTCCGTTTTCCAGTCAGGCATGATTCATCTCATCCATCTTTGCAAGAAGGTTTATTTTTAAATGTTTTTTTTTCTCCTCCATTGTTACACCCTGCAAACAATGTTGTGATAATGCAGGAAACACATGCAGGGTTACACGTGGCGCACGTGCACGTGGTTACTCCTGCTCCTGCGGGGTTGAGCTTTTCTAAAGGGCTGGAAACGCTGCAGCATAATGTCACCAACGAGTGAAGGCATGATTTGTAGCAGCGGAAAGTGCGCTGCAGCGTGTTGAGAGCACACGTCGGGATGAAGGATGACATGGGGGTCTGTTCCTGTGACGTTAAATCCTCTTGGTTTCACTGGGAGTCAGGAGTAAACATGTCCCCTTTCGTGTTAGAGCCACGGATACATCACGATTGGTGGGTTAGTACTTAAGCACATGTACACCAATTGGAGTACGGGACGAGAGAGTAATGGTCGGGAGTAATCCTCCAACAAGGATTACCCGTGTCTTTCGGGCTAGATTAAAGGGTCCCATGATACCCTGTGCGTCTGTCGGAGTCCTGACGGGGAATCAATGCGCTGGATGACAAATTATCAGCGTCATCATCTACGACGTGGTGTCTTTTTATCTCGTTGGAAGGACTTGGGATACTAGGGGTCTTTGTTCAGGCGTTCTTCAATACTCCAGATTTGAGTCCACGTGCTCTCTTGCTTTTTGCGTTTCCCTGCAAGTTTTGTTGAGATAATCATCTTACCCAGCAGGCTTTTCACACACACACACACACACACGCAAACATATAGACTGCAATGAGCAGATCTGAATGACGTACCTAAAGAAGTCAGCAGAAAGGAGAATAAATATTTGGGTCACATGAAAATTGAATATTCTTGGTGATGGTAACATCTGACAAAAAAATGCTCCACCAACGAGCAGGCTAGTCCTTTTATTCCCCTCAAATTGGACCAAGCTTGTAGGATAAAACTGACAAAACTAGCAGGAACTGCAAACATTTCCCTAACAGACTAAAATATTCAGAAGCTGCTATCTGGCTTATAGGGGCTTTCAGAGTATTATGATTCGCAACAAGGAGGCTGAGACTACCATATTTCCCCTGCGCTGTATTTGCAGAGGGCATGCTGTCGTGATGAAAAGCCAAACATGTACATTATGGCGTCTA